CTCCTCCCACAGGGAGGATTGCGGATGGCTCAGGGACTCCAGCCACCTTCCCCAGTAAGGAAACTATTGGCTCCTGTAATCAAAAAGTCTAGGTTCTTCTTTGGCTTTAGGTGGGGATGGACTGAAGGGGGGGTTGTCCCTGCCAGCTGTTCAGCCCTGCCGAATGGGCTCCGCAGCCCTGGGGGCTCGGGGGAGCACTTCTTTCCCAGTGTCTCGGCCCGAGCCCCAGGACTGACTTCCATGGGTCCAGCTCGGTCACAGGCCCACTGACCGCCGGGATGGGCCGTGCTGACCGGCCAGGCATGGGGTGTGCACTTACCCTGGGAGACTCAGGGTGCCCTCCCTGAAGGAAGGGGTATGGTTTCTGGAGAGGCAGGAATGATGTAGGCCCACCCAATACAGCCCTGCTAACCCTGGGTCTGCAGGGCAGGGGCAGCTTACACGGGGAGTGGGTGGTGGGCACAGGCCATAGACACAGTATGTGAGAAGGTGATTAAAACCATCTGGAAAAAGTAGGTAAAGGGGTCAGCCTGTCAGAGTGGGGGCAGGGAGGTCATACGGAGAAGGTGATCTCAGAGCACATCGCTGAAGGGGAGAGCGAGCTGGGAACAGTGTCAGAAGAAGGAACAGCAAGTGAAAAAGGTACGCGGCTGACACAGCTGGAGTGGGTGGCAGCAAGGGGCCCTCTCTGGAGGGAGACTGGCTTCCACTTAGGAAGCCATGAACTCCGTCCACGCAGCTGCCACTGCCCAGGGCGGCGGTTGGTGGGGCTGATGGGCTGATACACTCACCGCCTCCCCCCCCAGCAGCACCTTTGCCCCCAGCAGGGTCAGGGGGCAGCTGCCTAGTCCCAAGGCCTCCTCAGCCTCCTCCTGTGAGGCTCTTCCTTAGGCTGCTGCTCTCAAAAAGTCTTCCCTGCTTTCCTCATAGGCTCCCGCCCTCCTCAGGGTGAGTTCTGGAGATGGGGCCCTGCCGGCAGGGCTCAAGTGCCAGAAAGCTCACAACTCTCGTTTTGGAGCCCAGTCTCTTCCAGAACCCTCTGTGTGCTTTTGTACTTACTGGAGTATGAGTCCCCAGGACAGTGACCACCCTCTTTCCACTGCTGTGTCCCCAAGGCCCTGCATGGGCCTGACACCAGTAAGTGTTCAGGCAGGGAAGGGACAAGGGTGGGAAGAGCATCTGCGGGCGCCAGCCTCCCCCTCCTCCTCCCTGTACCCACCTCCGATTTCGCACCGGGCCTGGCTCTCGAGGGGCCCCCCAAAGCCCCTGTGTGTAGGAGGCAGATGCGTTATGAGGGAACAGAGTGGGGTATAGAGAACCAGCTTTTTCTTTTTTAGTGCCTGCTCTCTATACCAGCATTGTCTACACCTCATGAATCCTGTTTTACATGACACGCATTTGGAAAGGAAACCGAGGCTCGAGGTAAAGTGGCATCTTGAAGGTGACACAGCCCATATCCACCCCCCTCTACAGCCCCTCTGCATTCTGCCTTAAGCCCATGGCCTCTCCACTTGGCAAAAAATGGACCCGAGTTCAAGGCAGCCCGTGAGTGGGTGGCGCCGTGGGCGGTGGGCACGCGGGCTGAGGGTGGCCCCAGCAGAATGACGGGGGAGGACACGCTCGGAGGTGGGCTGTGCGTGGCCGGCTTCCCCTGCCCCTGGGTGAGGTGTGGAGGTGGGTGAGCCTTGGCCTGTGGGAGGAGGAGTGGGAACAAAGCTTGTGAACTGGAGCCCCCTGGCCGGCTCAAGGTTTCGGGGTTCTTTTTGTTTGGGAGGGATTTTTGTGGTAAGATACGTATGACAAAGTTTTATGTTACACTGTAGCCGTTTGCATACTTCAGCGGCAGTGAGTACACTGGCGGTGTTGTGCAGCCAGCACCATTATCTCCAAAACAGGGTTTTTGTCACCCCATACCAACTCCGTGCACTAAGCAGCAGCTCCCTGTCCCGGCTCCTCCCGCCCCAGGTGGTTTTCTGTTTCTGTGCACGTGTCTGATCTACGAAGGGGACTCCTTCAGTATTTCTCCCGTTGTGTCTGGCTTCTTTTGCTCAGCGTGATGCTTTCAGAGTTCATGTTGTAGCATGTGACCGTATTTCATTCCCCTTTAGGGCTGAACGATAGACCACATTTTGTTTTATCCATTTATTTGGCAAGGGCTTTCAAAATGGAAACAATGTCAGTCGGCCATTAATATTTTAAAATCGGGATATTTACATACTGGGGCAGATTTCCAGTTTCTTCTAACAACTCGGAATGCATGGTCTAGACTCTTGGTACCTCCCGGTTCCACCTGCCCAGCCCCTTCCCTCCCTGGACTAGAGCAGCCTTGGAGCACTGGGAAGGGGGCACTGTGTAGCCGTGAGAGCCCGCGACTGTGGCTGTCTGGCCGAGCAGCATGGCGCACGGCCCTGGGGCCACCCTGGGCCCTTGAGCTGCACGGGGCTGGGAGTACACATGCATCCCCTTTCCCCCTTCCACCACAGGTACAGGGCAAGGGACGTCCGTCCTCCCGGGAGCAAACCTGGTCAGAGAGGCAGGTGGTTGGGTGCCCACCTGTGAGCCTGTGCAGGGGTGCGGCACTGCAGGAGGCTGTGGGCCCGACACCCATGCGTCAGGGACGGTTGGCCCGCTGCGTCCAGAGCATGGTGCCCTCCTAGCACCCCCTCCTTCCAGAGGAGGAAGACAGGGCCCTCCAAGGCCAAGCAGCTGGCCCAATACAGATGATGCCAGGCTGTGAATTCTCACCTATAGGGTGGCTAAGAATGGGCACCTGCCAGAGCAAACGGGGGCTCACGTGATCAGTCAGTGCGGGTGCCCATCCCTGCCTTCCAGCTCCTCAGCTCCATAAGAGGCTCCTGTGTGTGGAGGGGCTGCCCTGGTGGGAGGTGGGCCGCTGTCAGGACTCAGCCTGGGCCTGGCAAAGGAGGTGCTAAATAGCTCCAGGAGGGACAGGCCTTGGGGCTGTAACTCCTTCCCAGGGACAATGGAAGAGGAGGCCTGCCCTGGGGAGGCAGCACTGAGCTAGGCCTTGAAGGCAGACTGAAATTTTCTGAGCTGGAAGCAACAGGGCAGGCGGACAGCAGAGCCCGAGCCCAAGCGGAGGCCTGGAGATATCAGGCCCCGCGGTGGCCAGGAGGGTGGAGCCTGGACTATAGAAGCCAGGGGACTGAGAACCCACCCGGCGGGGGTCTGGAGGACAGCAGTCAGGGGTCTTTGAAGAACAGGAAGGTTATGGAACAGGAATGGGCTGGTGCTGGAAAAGGGTGGGGTGGAGACGGGTGTGATGGACACCCACTTTCCTGTGGTTCAGGAATGAGCATCTGTCCCTCCAGGAGGGCTGGCACCTTGGTTGCCATCCTTACTTCGTTTCCCATCGTAACTTTGTTCCCCAGCCTGGGATGGGGCTGGCATGCAGTAGGTGCTCAGTAAATCCTGCCGGGCAGTTTGTTCATTCCACCAACATCTGCACTGGTCGCTGGAGATCCTTCTGGGGGAAAACCAGGTCTCTCTGTGATGAAGGAGGAGGGGGGCAGCGGACGCGCGGTGAGGTCCTGGAGGTTGCAAGGCTGCATACCGGGGACTCTGGGGTGTCGTTGAGCGGGCAGGGAACTGTGGGGCTGCTTTGAGCACAGCCTGGAGCTGACCTGCCGGAGGATGGAGGGAGCAGTGGCGGCCCGGAGGAAGAGGGGGAGGAGGGGCAGCCTGGCCCAGGGGACGGCAGCCGAGGGGGAGGGGTGCCACTTCACCAAGGCCTTTCCCATCCCCCTCTGCCCGGGGCTCGGCGGCTTGATGGGCAGCCTGGCCCCGCCCCCGGGCAGCCGGGAGGCCAGCGATTGGTTGGGGCGCTAGAGCCGCTCGGTCGCCATGGGGACGCTCTGGCGGTGCGCGTGCCCAATGCCCAGCCCCGGGGACTAAATCTTCATAATCTGCTGCCTGGGAGAGTGGGGGTGGGGTCTTGCGCGACCCTGGCCTGGGGGAAGGGGTGGCCTGGGATGCGGTCTAGGCTCACTGTGGGAGCCCCTCCCCCACCAGCTCTGGGTGCTGGTGCCGAACCCCGGGGCACCTGGGCGCCACTGGGAACCACGCGGTACTCACCTGACAGTGACCCCGCGAGCTCCACTAGCTTCGGCCTCTGCCGTCTCAGCTGATCAAGCAGGAGGCTGGGCCTGGACTAGGGAGAGGGGCCTGGAATTTTATCTTAAAATGTCTAGCCCCTTAGTTAAAGTTTGTCTTCCCAGATCCCCCAGGCAATATTGTGCTCTCCGCAGCAGGGGGCGCCCTTGGCAGAGCTTTGTTGAGTTGTCACCTCTGGAAAGCTGCGATAGCCTATTGAGATGCCAGGAACGCAGACCCCAGAGCCTGGAGCCATGGCTCAGGATGTCCAAGGCCACCTGGCCTTACACAGAAGGCAGCTCTGGGGGTGCACTGCCTGTGCCTAAGCTGCCAGTAAGCTGCTGGGACTAGGCTGGGCCTGCCTGCAGGAAGGAGTGGGTAACTGGGGGTGGGTGGGTGGGGGAATCACAATGCAGCTGTTATCCCTTTCTCCTTAGGCAGATAAGGAAGTTGAGAGCCCCCTGTGGGGAAAGGGTGTGAAGGGGCAGGGCAGTGGTGAGTTAGAGGAAGGGGGGGGGGGATGCCTGTCAGGCCCCAAGCCACCTCTGGGTGTCCAAGGACCTCTGGCGTGCAGCAGGCCAGTCAGACCTGGGACTGCAGCCACTCACTCCCAGGCCCTAGAAGCCGGGCCTCCCTGAGCCTGGATGGGGTGTAATGGGTGTGGAGTGCGGATCACTGTGGGTGCTCTGCTCCCGCTGGCCTGCTTCAGGCAGAGGTCCCCTGCCCCTCCCCCGGGCAGCGACAGCAGGGCTTACCTCCTACCCAGAGATGCCCCTGAGGACGAGACAGGGCAAGCACTCCCTGTGGCCTCATGGCCACCAGACCCCAGGGGGTCTTGGGGGCAGAAGGTGCTGGGGGGAGCCTCAAGCCCAGGCCTCTCGTTCCAGATGACTCCTCCTCTGAGAGTGGCAGCGGCAATGGCTCCTCCACCCTGAACCCGTCCACATCGAGCAGCACGCAGGGCGACCCCGCCTTCCCCGAGATGAATGGCAACGGCGCCGTGGCCCCCATGGACTTCACCGCCACCTCTGAAGATCAGCCCATCAACCTGTGTGACAAGCTCCCGCCGGGCACGGCACTCGGCACACCCTCCTACCCCTCAGACGGCTGTGGCACCGATGGCCTGCGGAGCCGCGTCAAGTACGGGGTGAAGACCACCCCTGAGGTGTGTGGGGCTGTGGGCCACCTTCTTCCTGTACACATCGGGGTTGCGTGAGGCAGAAATGAAATCGTATGTCCCCAGAGTTGTGACCCCAAGTCAGAGGGGAGATTCTGGAATAAGAGATCACGTGGTGTGTAACCTCAAGCAAGGCCTTCCCTCCTCTGAGCCTGTGTCACCATCTGTAAAGAGGTCGGCCCCGCCATAGCGAAGGTGGTGGGTGAGGTGTGGCCTGTTCCCCTCAACCCCCAGAATGGAGTCCGCTGCAAGTTATAGCAGCAAGTGGCCACATTCAGCACAAATCCCCCTTTGCATGCCTGTCCCATTTTACAGATGGTGCAGAAAAAGAATGAGGCCTCAGAAGGCCCAGGGATATGAATGCTCAAAACTCAGTAGGCCAAGCTGGTGTGGGGCGAGGGATGGCCGTCAGGGAAGGCTGGCCAGAAGCGGTGCCCCCCGCCCCCCGCCCCGGAAATCCCTCTTGCTTTCTGGGGCCGCCACTCACGTGTCTGCAAGCTGCCTCTGGGCCACTGAGGTTTCCTGCGCATTGGGCACACGGACTCTGGGGAGCGTTTTCTCCTGCTGGGGCTGGGGGCCAGAGGTGACTTATCGGAGCCCTACACCCCTCTGCTCCAGCCCTGTACCCCTGCACAGCTTCCGGCCCTGCCCTGGGCCCTTCTCCTCTGCAGAGGGCGCAGGGCGGGTACCAGCACTTGCCCCTGTGGCCTGTGTCATGGGAGGGTTCTGTACAGATGACGGGGTATGCAGTCGTCCCCACGTGCCTGAGCTCAGGCCCTCCTCTCCTGAGGCCAGGGGCAGAGCTGGCCACCCCCCGCACTGAGCTGCGGAGGGGGAATGTGCTGCCGGGGGCTTGGGCCACGCATGTGCGCGGCGGAAGCGAGATGGGAGCACCCGTGCCACCGGCAGCTTGTGTCCTGCGGCTTCTGTCTCTGGCCCTGGCAGAGGACTCGGCTAAGGAGCAGCTTGGGGGTGGGGCTTGGCCCGGGGCCGGAAAGTCTGCGGCCTCTCCACTGTGAGTCTGTCATGACCTGGCCAGAGCACCTAGGGGTCTTGGCCCGTTAAAGTCTGTGCGTGGACCAAGAGCTGGGCCCCAGGTCGGGGGCCCTGGGAGGTGGGTCTCACCTCCTGTGGGACGGTCACACAGAGTCCTGGTGGCGGCGGCCAAGACAGGACTGAGTGCCACTCAGTATCCATCTTCATCCCTTTGCCCTTCAGCAAAGAGGGGATTATGGAATGGGAGTAGGCAGCTGGGTCTCTCCTCTGCCGAGCGACAGGGTGACTGGCTGGTGGGCTGGGCCTGTTTCCCACTGCCCCTTGACAGACCGACCGACCACACACACACACACCACACACTCCCCCACCCCCACCCCCGGGGCTTGTGGTGGTAGGCTGGGCCTGTTTCCCACTGCCCCTTTACAGACAGACAGACACACACACACACATACACACACACACGCACGCACGCACACACACACACCACACACACACCCCCACCCCTGTGGCTTGTGGTGGTGTCTCCCGGGAGTGGCAGCAGACAGGGGAAGCCAAGCCCCGGAGTTTCGGGAATGCGCTTTGCCTAATGGACCTGTCGCCCAGGCTGGTCCCCTCTCCTAGCCCGTCTGCTCCTGCCTGACAGACGGCACACTCGCTGCCTGTGTGACAGCTCGGTTGGTTGCCAGCATGGGATTGGGGGCGGGAGGGAACCCCAAAGCCAGAACCATTCTTGGCAGAACCAGAAGAGGCTGGGAACCCTTCCTGAGTCTGCCCAGCCCTGGCACGATGCGGCAGGCCGTGGTGTGGGCACTGCTGCCGAGTGAAGTGCTAACATGGTCCCAGGCCTCTGCCACCCACGGGCATCTCCATTCCGCGGGTGAAGGGAGTGGGGAGGGGCGGCGACTCGAGACCTCGACACTGTGGCTAGCGCGGCGGCCAGGTGTGCTCACCACCCCAGTCCCCGAGCTGTCCGTGGCCTGGTCTGACCCTCTGGCCCTTGCCCTCTCTCAGTCACCCCCTTATAGCTCCGGGAGCTATGATTCCATCAAGACTGAGGTCAGCGGCTGCCCCGAGGACCTGACGGTGGGCCGGGCCCCCACAGCAGATGACGACGATGATGACCATGACGACCATGAAGACAACGATAAGATGAACGACTCTGAGGGCATGGACCCTGAGCGCCTCAAGGCCTTCAATGTGAGTACCAGTGAGGGACGGGCAGGGCAGGGGCCATGGTCAGGGCAGCCCTTCCTACAGCCGGTGCCTCCCACAGATGTTTGTACGTCTCTTCGTGGACGAGAACCTGGACCGCATGGTGCCCATCTCCAAGCAGCCCAAGGAGAAGATCCAGGCCATCATCGAGTCCTGCAGCCGGCAGTTCCCCGAGTTCCAGGAGCGGGCCCGCAAGCGCATCCGCACATACCTCAAGTCCTGCCGGCGCATGAAGAAGAACGGCATGGAGATGGTGAGCCCCTCGTCCCCGGTCCACCTGTTCCCTCCGCACTGAGCCCCCGGGGACTCCTGGGTGGCCCCCTGGCCGGACACTTCCCCGTTACTCTCCTGATACCCCTGGAAGCAGGAACCACGATCCCTGATTCTCAGAGGAGGGAGACTGAGGCCCAGATTACACGGTCCCGTAGAGCACAGTCCTGGAGTGCACACCCTGGCTCTGTACCACCCACCTCCAGGGCGCGGGGTCTCCGTGAGCCCCAGCCCCGGCCCCATCCCTGTTCTGCCTGCAGACGAGACCCACACCTCCCCACCTGACCTCGGCCATGGCAGAGAACATCCTGGCAGCGGCCTGCGAGAGCGAGACGAGAAAAGCAGCCAAAAGGATGCGCCTGGAGATCTACCAGTCTTCCCAGGTACCGCCTTACCCACAGCTGCCTGGGCGCTGTTCCGGGGTGGCGGGGGTGAGAGGGCGACCGGCATCCTGCTGCAGATGGCTGGACACGGGGCGAGAGGGAAGGCCACCCCGGGACCCAGACGGAGCTGCGGTGGGGCAGCTGAGGTGGGGCAGATGTGGACAGCCAGAGGGCCCGGTCACACAGGCCTCACTGGCCTAGGGAGTCTGGCCTCTGAGAGAGTTTTGGTTTTTTGTGGTTTTTTTTTTTAATATAATTTATTGTCAAGTTGGTTTCCATACAACACCCAGTGCTCATCCCCACAAGTGCCCTCCTCCATGCCCATCACCCATTTTCCCCTCCCCCCACCCCCATCAGCCCTCAGCTTGTTCTCAGGATTTCAGAGGCTCTCATGGTTTGCCTCCCCCTCCGTCTCATTTTCCCCCTCCCCTCCCCCTTGGTCCTCTATTAAGTTTCTCCTGAACGTGGTGTCTTTCTCTGCCTGCCTAACTTCACTCAGCATGATACCCTAGAGTTCCATCCACGTTGCTACAAACGGCCAGATTTCATTCTTTCTGAGAGGGTTTTTTGGCCAGGCAGAAATGGATCAAATCTGCCCCCCAGAGAGATGAGCAGAGTCCCACGGGTCAAAGCACTGGGTCCCAGGGTCTCCCTTCGGTTCCCTAGCGCTCTCCTCCCGCTCTGCAGGACGAGCCTATTGCCCTGGACAAGCAGCACTCCCGGGACTCTGCCATCACCCACTCCACCTACTCACTGCCAGCCTCCTCCTACTCCCAGGACCCCGTGTATGTCAACGGCGGCCTCAACTACAGTTACCGCGGCTACGGGGCCTTGGGCAGCAACCTGCAGCCCCCCGCCTCCCTCCAAACAGGAAATCACAGTAACGGTGAGTGGGGGCGCCCCCGGCCCCCTGACCTAAAGCCAGGTCTGTGTGCACCACAGCCTCGGGGAAGGGGGCAGGGGCCGGCAGAGAGCGAGCCTCCCGCGTGGCACAGTTACCTCCCCCACTTCAGTCTCGGCCAGTCCTCAGGCTGGACAGTGAGGAAATCTCAGCTGGTTAAAACCACAGACCAGGCCTTTCGTGCCGAGGAGGCTGCTCTAGCGCTCGACTGGATGCACGGCTGGGCCTCGCCCAGCTTCCGCCCTGCTCTGAGCTGAATGCTCCCCACACGCCTGCTTTACCCCCAGTGTCCGGAGCTTGGTGAGGGGTCACTGGCCCAGGGCACTTGGGAGTTGGGAGCAGAGCCAGCATCGGGCCCAGGCACGGCCCAGTTCAGCAGCCACGGCCCGCGGGGGGCCTGCCGAGTGGCTCTGGGCAGGTCACCGCCTTCTCCTGGCCTCAGCCCTTGCCCCTGCACTACGGAGCCCCGTGTAGGTGTTACCTGGGGTGCGAGTTAACTATGTGTTCCCCCAACTCCAACCCTTTAAGCTGGTGATTGCCCTGGGGCCCCTGCAGAACTTCCCAGGCGCCTCGGATGCAGACAGGGCATAGCCCAGCATTGGACAGTCCCTGGAAAGATGCTGATGTCCCTCTCGAGCTAGGTGTCACCCTGAGTGGGAACTAGAGTGGGGAGCTCAGGCCCATTCACACTGGGCCCCACGTGAGCAGGCTCCACTGGTAGCCTCGGGGTGGGTGACCGCAGGGCCGGGCACTTGGATTTCATTCTGTGTGCCACAGATCAGTTTTAGGCAAAGCAGGGCTGTGAACTGTGTTTGGTCTTCATGGTGAGATCTGAATCAGAAGGGCAGGGGGCAGAAGCCGTGTGCATTGAGAGTCCTTCAAAGACAGAGGGGTGAGGAAGAGAGCTGAGGGTGACCCCAGGTTGTTTGAGGAGTATGTTGGAGGAAGGTGCCGCCCACAGGCCAGGGAACTTGGGAACTCTGGTTCTAGGTCTTGGCCGAACATGGTGAGAGTTCCTCTCAAGCCCTTGTCCTTGGCTCCAGGAGACCCCTCACCATTCCCGGCAGCAAGGGAGGGGCTGGCCCCGACCCATGGCAGAAAGCTGAGGCACCACCCCCACACCCCGCTCACCTTGCCCCCTTCCAGCAGGAAGTGTGTGCAGGTCCCTGGAAGACTCCTGCCTGAGCTTAACTTCTCATCCCTTCCTAATGCCTCTTAACCTAAAATAAGAGGCTGCCTGGCCTTAATCCCTGAAGCTGAAGCTGGAGTGGCCAGCCACAGGGAGAGGTGGGACCGATGTCCCGCAAGGGTGGCTTTTCTTCCAGGAAGAAGAGCCATCTGACAGGCCTGCTGAGTGGGGACTCGGTTAGAGTATCTGAGGACAGGTCCCAGGGCAGGGAAGTTAGGACCTCCTAGATACACATGAGGAGGGTGGGGTCCAGTCCTTCCCAGGCAGCAGGCGATGGGGACAAGCCCCCAGCTGGTCCACGCAGCGCAGCCGGTCTCGGCTACGGCCGCCTGGGAGGGCGCTGGCCTGCTCCCCTCTGTGCCCTGGTCACAGCTGCCAGAGAGGCTCCAGCCACGGCCAGGTCTCCCTTTGAGGGAGGCAACTGGCTCTGCCCTGTGCTTCCCGGGGCCTCTGTTCCTTCCATATGCGCCCTGCCTCCTTAGAGGTGGGTGGTGAGGTCACCGTGGCAGAGACCTGCTCGTGTACCTCCCGGCCGGGGGCAGCACACATGCCGCGAGCACTGGGCTGGAGTCCAGAGGCTTTCCACAAGCAGCCAGCCCCGTCAGGGACCGTCAGTCACACCGGTGCCCTGGCAGGGTGACTGCGTGAGGAGCTCAGAGCTCCTCACTTCGCTCATCAGGTTGTCAGTGGGAGATGCAAATGAGCTTAAGAGAGAACCGGACGGGCCTGCCTTTCTCGGGTTGCTGGGCATCTCGTGCCCACTCCTGCCCCTCCGGCAACCACACCTGAGTGTCAGCACTAGCGCCTGCGGGAGGGCGGCTCCCGAGCAGGCTGGCCGCAGGGAATGGGGACATTCTCTTCTCTGGGCTCTTACTGATGTCCAGGAGAGACCAGAGGACAAGGCTTGGGAATGGGAGAGAGGAACCCCAGGGCCCGGTCACACCGACTTAGCTGCTCCCTTGACTCTCAATTCCAAGGACCTGCTTTTGGATGTCCACGTGCTCCAGTCAAAGAGGAAGCAGCCCATGGGACAGGTGGCCCCCTCAGGCTGCACCAGCTTCCTTTAGCAGCAGGTCCAGTTTCCAGTATGTCACCTCCAGGTGCAAAGTCTCCAGTAATTGGAGCTTGACCCTCTCTCTGCAGCAGCGTAACAAGCGCCACTGTAGATGCAATAGATGAAGCTGGCCATCAGAATCCACGGGGTAGTGGGCAAACGGCTGACCGCCAAGGTCAGCCTCGCACACCTGCCTGCTGGGGGGAGACCACCCGGTGCGGGGAGGGACAGCGGCGGGGGGCGAGGGGGTGCAGGTAGACAGGAGCAGGGAGACGGCCCCCCTGAGGAGGCATTGGGTATGCTTCTTTTTGGCCATTTTCCCACTCAGCACCTCTCAAGAATGCTTTTCAACTTCCAGGAGCCTCCATGTCTTCCGGGGGCCAATTCAGAAAGCCCCCCAAACTGGTCTGGAAGCCCCTTCCCAGCAGGCCTCGCAGCTCAGGGCCGATGACCAGTTGCCTGCACAGTGGCTTGGGAAAGGCAGAGAGGAGGAAGGGCCCGCTGGTCCCCTGCCTCACATCCTCCAGTCTGTTTCAGAAAGACTCAGGTTCCTTTTTTGCTGCCACTATTCTGAGGGCAAAGGGGACTTCTCCAGAGAGTGCCCCTGGGTCTCCATCCTGAACACTCTGACCCTCACACACCAGCCCCACAACACGAACCTTCCCCTTGCCCAGGCACAGAAGACCTCCTCAGAGGAAGGGGGATTCGGTGTTCTGCAGCTCCTCAGACACAGGCTTAGCACCCACAGCACCTTCCTCCACGTGGCACTCCCCCCCTCCCCCACAGGCAGCAGTCACCATCTGGCCGGCCTGGCCTCAACCTCTCCCAGAGCCAAGCAGGGCACCTGGTCTGCCTTCTCCACCTGGACAGAAGTCCCGCCCGTGTCTGAGCACCTGCTCGGCTCTCCACCCTGGACCCTAGGGCTTTCCACACACCCGTGCCGCTCAGCTTGCCTACAGCATCTTGAATCCCATCTCCCCGAACAGCCTGCCTGTCTGGGGAGGAACAGCACACCCCCATGGGGCGCACAGCCATCCTTACAGGGGAAGCTCTGCTTTCCCACGGTGAGGAAAGTCAGGGGAGCTGCTTTGCCTTGAGGCCTCCCCCTGGCCCAGCTGCCAGAGCTGGGATCTGGGGTGCGTTAGGGGAGCGCGGTCCGCAAGGGCCTTCAGAGCAAGGGAGCGCAGCCCGGGGGCTGGGGTCAGAGCCCACTTCTGGCTGATGCTTCCGAAGGCGGCCCTCACCACGTCCAGCCCTGGAGGCAGAGCCAAGTGCCCACATTCACCACGTGACCTCTGGCAAACCTCCGACCTCCAGGTCTCCGCTTGCCCCCCATCCCCCCCACCTCACCGCACCACCCACAAGGTCCCCTTCCTTGACGACCACCTGAGGGTTGAGAGCCCCACGTTTCACCTGCCGGTACCAGGCCCCATCCTAGGTGCCGGCGTACACGCTTCCAGAGGCCCAAGTGCCTGAGTCACAGCAAACTCCCAAGTCAGCACTGTCGCCTCCCCTCCTCACCGGCGCTCTCCCCTCTGCAGGGCCCACCGACCTCAGCATGAAAGGCGGGGCCGCCACCGCCTCCAGCACGCCCACGCCCACGCCCTCCAGCAACAGCACCAGCAGGACCATGCCCGCCGCCCAGCTCAGCCCCACGGAGATCAGCGCTGTGCGGCAGCTCATCGCCGGCTACCGAGAGTCTGCCGCCTTCCTGCTGCGCTCCGCGGACGAACTGGAAAACCTCATTTTACAGCAGAACTGACCCCGCGGCACCTGGAGTGTACTACCCTCGGGAAGGAGGCTGTCCCGGCCTGGCTTCCTGCCTCACCACTTGGTACATTTTGTTTTCTGAAAGAGGTGGGATCCAAAAGAGCGGTTTCTAGCCACACGCCAAGCACCTGCGACTTTGGGCACAAGGACACTTTTTTTTTTGGAATCTCACCACACGGGTGCTCTGACCTGCTTGGAAGAGGCCAACGGGGCAGCTTTGGAAGGGCTGGGGCTCCCCTGACAAGGCGCTGGGGACACAGCTCTATTTAGAATCATCTTCGTGGACCCTGATGTTAGAATCCCACCCCCAGATAATTACCTTTCAGGTCTTAGGTGAGCAGAATTGCATATTTATTGAGAAAAACAAAGTGGACCCTTTCTTCCTCTCCCCTTAGTAATTTATTTTTCTGAAAATGGATTCTTTTGTGTTTGTACAGATTGCCAGTCTGTGTCTGTCTGATCAGAAGGATGTATCCCTGTGACCTAACATTCCATATCACTACACTGACGCGGGCTGGGGGCCGGCAGGGCGGGGTGAGGCGGGGCGGGCACCTGGCTGGCTGTCCCTTTGAGCACCCAGCACCGCCAAGCCGGAGGACCTCACCCACACCCAATGCAAAGCAAAGACAAAAATGGCTCCCCCACCCCCATTCCACAGAAGCCCCAGTCACACGGTCACCTGTGTTCTACCTCACACTCCAGCATGGGCTTGTTCCAGGATGTGCCCCAAGCCTGTCCTGAACGGCTACCTATCTCCCAACTCCCCCCCGCGGTGCGTCCGCCTGGGAGGTAAGTTCCGAGGGGTGGCCAAGAGCTAGGGCCCAGGGAGGGCTTCGACCCTCACGGCCGCCCTGCCCCGGCCCTCCCGGCTGCTTGACAGAAGGCGTGCAGGGGGCCGGCTGTTGGCAGGGCTCACAACCCCGGGCCCTCCTCCGCCCCCAGGGAGCCAGGGCCGAACCCTTCTGCACACAGGCCCCGGGCCCTCCAACACCCACCGGGAAGGACCTGTTTCTTCAGGGCGAGCCCTCAGCTGTCAGGCAGCCACCAAACAGGGAAAGCGGCTGCGAGCCCCTGGTTGGACTTGCGGCTCCTGCCCTCTGCCCCTGGGTTGGGGGTAAAGGGACCACCCCTACAAGTGGGGAAGCCACTTGGGTTCTCCCAGGACGCACCCTTCTGGAGGGGCGCATCCTGGGAGAAACCTAAATCCCTGGAGTGTGAAAAAAGGACAAAAAGAAAAGGCTGGCCCGGTCTCCGTCCTCCCCAGTAGGCACTTCTTCTTGCTCAGTGCAATACCTACCAGTGCTGCTAAAACCAGGGACTCACCCAGACCTCAGAAGGCCCGAGGGGCCTCTCCATGCAACACTCCGTAGCCATGACAGCAGCTCTCCGCTGCCTGCCCCTGCCCAGAGCTGGCAGAAGCCCTCTGTTGCCTTTCCTCCCTCAGAGCAAAGAGGCCCCAGGGGAGCCGGGGCTGCGTGGACCCTAGGACCGCCACCGAGAGCCACTCGGCCCCAGAGCAGGTGCCCCTTCCCAGTCCAGCTTTCTGCAGCCGACTGCTCCCGGCACTACTGGCAGACCACCACCGTCAGGAGGGCCGGGGAGGGGCCCGGCACGGGTGCCCCGAGCCGCCTCGGATCCGGGCCCGAGCTGCGGGCCTTGGAGCCAGAGCCCTGAAAGGTAGGGTGCCCCGCGCCTTGCTTACTTCCAGCCCCCAGTAGTTCAGGGTGGTCTTCTCTCTCTCAAGTGGCCTCCGGCGCCCCACCCAGCCACACCACCTCTGCCTTCCATCTGACCAGTCCCCAGGCCTCCGGTCAGGACCAGGACACCAGAGCGAGACTCCCCCTTAGCACAGCACGAGCTCCAGCGCCCGAGGCCCGTCCCCCGACCCAGCCATCCACAGTCCGGGCCCCCCTCTCCCCCTGCTCAGTGCTCTTCCCCTTTCAATTGGTGTAAATATTTATTTTTGTGAGTGAACAATACTACAAAGTAATCAGCAGGTCTTTTGCAAAATGGTACCCCAGGCAATTTGTGAAAATCTTAATGTTAAAAACTGGCAGAGACAATCGCCGCCTTAGAATTCTTGATACCAACTGCTTGTCATTTCCCCTCCCGGAGGCAGGACCCCAGCCAGGCACCGGGCTTTTCTCATGGAGGACGGGAGAGAGGAAGGCTGGGAGGGGCCGCCGCCCACACACAAGGGATTAGATCGAAAGATCAGCGTAAGCTTGAGTCCGGCTTCCCTCAGCTGCCCACCTCGGCCCGCCTCAGCCCTGGGCAAGAGCGCAGGCGCGAGCGGAAGCCCCTCCGGGACAGCCGATTCTGTCACGGTGACCTCACTGCTTGGGTGGGCTCCTCCGTGACGCTAGGCCTGAAGCCCTGGTGACGGCAGGATCAGGAGCAAGTCGCTGTGTGGAAACAGGACTCCGTTAGCTAGTTCAGTCAGGGACCTTGTTCTGTTTTGCGTTTTTTTTCAAAGATGCAGCTTCAACCCCTCCCCACAGTCCTGCCCTGGAGGGCACCAAAGAGCAGGTCCGGCCGGATCTAGCTCACCGCCATCCCCCCACCCCGCACCCGCACCCCCACCCCCACCCCAGGGACTGCCTTCTCCCACAGGGAGTTTCCCTGCCCGCAGCCGTGTGAATTCTGACTTCTGACGGAGGACGGAGGGCCTCAGGGCACATATCCATCACGGGGGGTGGGGGGGGGAACCCTAAACCTGAAGGTAACTCGAGTCAGAATATACCAATCCCAGCAGAAGGGTAGAATCAGGAGGAATGGGAATCTGGTCTTAGAGGCGGATCAGCCAGTAGACCAGTAATGGTGTGAGCCATCTGACATTCATGTCACCATCACCTCCAGGACAGGTTATACCCAAGGACAGTGTTGTGGGGGAGGGGGACACAGGGGGCGAGCAGGGTTTTCAAGGATTTCAAACAGGTGGCACCCGGCCATCCCTATTCCCAAGGGCCGCTTCCGACTCCAGGGGTGGTTACAGGATTAACTACCAGTTCATTTTCAAAATGCTGCTTTGAACTCAGAGGGTTGATACTTTTAATTTGTAATTTTTTGTAAAACTTTTTACAAGATAGTAAAGTATTTCACCAGAATACCAGTTTCAATCCGTCCATGGTCTGATTTTTATATAATTTAGTGGTGCTTTAGAAACTTTGTTTTTGTTGTTTCTGAGCTAAACAGCTCAATCCTTTCTCGCCTGTATCTACCTAAGACCAATGTGAACCTTTGTATTTTTGCTCCTAATTTTGGACTCAGTGAAAGTGTACTGTTTACATGTACAGATGCCCCCTGTCCCTGTGTGTTCCGCAAGACTCGCTCTTGAGGAGGAAGGGGCACCTCACTAAGCTCATCTGCTTAGCAAAGCCACAAAACAAAAACCTCTCACTTTTTACCTGTGTTTCCACCTAAAAACAAAAACTCTACACCACATAGAACTCGGATTTGCTGAAATATACTTTTTCTAAGCTCAGAAGACTCTCTGTGTCAGATGGCCCACAGGCCTCTCTCACATGGTCCACCTTGGAGCAGGGGTCAGAGCAGAGACTTCCCTGGGGGGAGCGGGGGGCTGCTGACGGGGCACCTGTGTGGCCTCGCGGAAAGCGCGAGAGGGACTTGGCTGCGGGGCTGCGGGTACGATGTAGTTCTTCCAGCAGCCTGGGAGTGGGGAGAGGTCAAGGTGACCCATGTGACCTTCAGGGTCAAGCCTCCCAGGATTCAGGCACAACCCAAAAGGCTGTCAATGGTCTGGCCTATTTTAGACATGTTTCGGGAGAGCGCAAATTCCCTGAGACGAGGGTTTGGGACTTTCCAGTGCAGGTGGCAGGTGGCACGGGCCTTTCCTCGGGGGCTCCCCTGGCAGCAGCTGGTTCCTGAGGCACCACCTCTAAGGAGGGGCAAGGGGCTCCCGACCGTAAGCAGATGGCACTGAAGACAAGCAGTGGATGGCACCAACTTTCAAAGGTGACTCTTTGTTACTTAATCAATGGCTACACCTCTAAATTCTATTTTTACAGATATGCACCTATGCAACTTAACGTGGCTCTTCTAAGCAGGTGAGGACTTCCTCCTCAATGCTCTATAAAAACTATTTGTGTTCTATATAGTGAGTTTTTTCCAGTAAATGTGGCTTAATATTTTAATTCTTAGACTGTGTCTTCTTTATGTGATGCAACTAAATTTTGTTTTTGTTTGTGGAATGACTAGCACAGGCCAAGTCCCTCTCCCTCACTTAACAAAAAGACCAATGAGCTGTTAATCGAGCTGTTATCTCCATGGTATTACTTGCTAAATGCACTGATTTCATAAGTATGTGGAATCCTTTTTTCTTTTGAATCTGTATATCATATATAAGACTGAATCTACTTAATAAACTCTGAATAACAGATCGGACGCTTCATTCCCAGCGTGTCCCCCCAACAGCCCTGCCAGCTGACTCCCTCCTGCAAACCTAGGCCGGCACCGATGCGCCTTCCTGCTGCTAGGCCACCTTGTCCCTGCCAACGCAGTAGCCCAGGTCAACTTCTCTCCAACAAATAATCCTGTCATTTCAACAGCCAGCCCGCTGGCAAGAGAAGGAAACGAACCTTACAGGGACTCATCAGGGGCCGGGCGCAGGAGGCACCTTCCCGGGCGGGGCGGGAGGCGGGGGGGGGGGGGCACACCAATCACCCAGCAATGTCGCTCCCACGCGGCCGCTCCCCTTGCCCCAGCGCGCTGCTCTTCCCCCACCGAGACCAAACTCACGGGGACTGATCCCTAAGTGCTGGCTTGGAAAACTGAGGAAACACCATCCCTGATCCTGAACCTTCTGCACTTGGCGTTCCATTCGACCCCGAACTTCCAATCCACCTTGAGGGAAAAGGGCAGTTTACTTCTGCACAGTTTTTTTCATCCGACATAGAGCATTGAGGCTAACCCTTGAGGAAATCTTGCAGGAATATGGCTGGGGGCTCAGCTGACTGTCACGAATTTTTTAAAACTTCTGTGAGTTACATGCATAAACGTTACTTTTGCTGTTATAATGTGTGTGTGTGTGTGTGTGTGTACAGACACATAACCACACATTACATGACAGTTTTTAAAACATTTATGTTTCATATCGGCAGAAGAATCTTTTGAAAACTGAAATTCTGTACAATACCCAAATAGATAAAATAGATAAAAAGAGGGGCACCTGGGTGGCTCAGTCAATTGAGCATCTGACCCTGGATTTTATCTCAGGTCATGAGCTCATGGTCGTGAGATCAAGCCCCATGTGCCGAATATGGGGCCTGCATAAGGTGCTCTCACTCGCTCGCTCTCTCCGCCCCTTCCCCGCTCATGCTCACTCGCTCTCTCAAAAAAAAAAAAAAAAAGATGAAAAGAGAGGGGCCAATAGTTGGAAGACACTGTACCCAGGGAACCCAGTCTGGGGCGACTGTAAGGATAGCAGGGACGGCAGGGACGGGGAAAGCCAAAGACAGCGGCCAGGTGCCTCTCTCCACATGACGTAGGGACCAATGGCGGCAATGCCTCCCCGATACCATGAAAACGCCTGTCCTACCAAAGCCACCACTGCCGAGAATCACCAATGGACCACGAAACCCCCACACCTAGGACGACGACACGTCCCAGGCCCAGCCTACCGTGCGGACGGCACACAAGACCACGAGGGTACTTACCTCCAGATGAGGTGCCACAGCGCCACGGGATGAGGCAGGAGATCGAGGAGACGTCATCGCTCAAGGAGAGAGAAGCGTTGCTTGGTGCCAGTCTGGCTTCTTTAGTGGGGTCCCCAGGACCGCTGTTGTTAACGGTGCACAGGTTAAACAGGAAACGCCCCCGCGGAACAGTGAACTAAAATTTACTCATTGACAAAACAGGGAAACTTCCCTTTACTGGGGGGGGGGGGGGGGGGGGGGAGAGGAGGCACAGGCGTGCATTTTAAAGGGAAGCCCAGTTTACAAAAAAACTAAGGATCCTTTGCAAAGTCCTCCCTCCCCTCCTTGATCTTTTGTATCAACTTAGATTTCATCAGGTTTATTAGGTTCACCCCCAGTCAAAGGGCTCCTAGATGAGGGGTCCCAGCTGCCTGAGGGGCCGACGGGCCCTCTGACATACTTCTCACCCCTTGGTGTGGATGTGCCTCCCTGGGGGAGGGGGTCTGGAGCCTCTGTCGGGCTCTCTGTTCCCAGAAAGGCGAAGAGCCACTGCACAGGCAGCTTTTAGTCCCTCTTATATTTTCCTTACAGAGCTTTTGTCTGCATCTTTGCTAGTCAGTCTAGGCCTTCAGACTGAAGCACGGAGACGGGAGGAAGTATGGGCACGGTCAGCGTTTGCTTTCAAGTATTCGTCTCCGAGGTCACAAAGCCCGTTCTGCCCACACACAAGGGTGACACAGCCGTGCCCCCTCCCCTCAGGAGGCAAGCAGGCCGATGTTTGTTCTCCGGGCCCCACTGGAGGCAGGGCGCCCTGTGAAGCGCGTGCACCCACACAGCCCTCTCTCAAGCAGGGTCCGACTTCCTTCAGAGCAGGTGGACGTGGGACACTCAGGATACTCACCAGGCCAGTAAATTAATATTCCTTCCAGGTTCTGGAACGGTAGGTCTCCTCGCCTTTCAGATCACGAGTCAAACAGCCTCCCCTGTCAGGCACACGGTCCCCGAACTGAAGGCTGTGTACCAACAGCTACAGGCAGAGCGTGAGGCCAGAGGCCAGGTGTCCGGTGAGAGGCCGCCGCCCCACCCCGCAGCGCACGAGGCCCGCCTCCCCAGCGTCCCCCTCCGGGGCAAGGATCAGGCAGGTGGCAGGCAGCACACAGACCTCTACTCCAAGTTCAGGCAGCTCCTGTTCTGCGGGTGCAAGCTGACAGTCTGGAGCACTCCCTGCATGACAGGTGCGAATGACTTTACAGAGTAAGAATTTCGTCCCCTTCCTGAGGCGGGGGTGCTGGTGGAGAGACGGACTCGCCGGGACCACGGAGCCAGCAGGGAACAGGGCTCGCATGCCAAACCCACCATCCTCTGCCGCCTCCTTGACAAGATGCGAGATGCGATCACAAGGTCAGGCCCCGGCCCTGGACTCTATAGTGTGTTCTAGGCTCCGGTGGCCGACACGCGAGCAAACAGGTGCTGTGCCCTGACCCCACAAGCACACACACAGGATCGCCACTAGGAGGCCGCCCAGGCACCACACGGCCACCCCACCCTAACTTCTCCAGCCGCACATACACCAACAACGGCGCACAACGGCAGCTTGAGCTGCCCCAGGAGGGGCCCCACCGCACAGAGCCCACTTCCACCAACTCACGGGGAGCGAGTCAAGGGACACCTATTTCAATCAACATGTACTTCCCTCGTGGTTTTTTTTACTTTTGGCTTGTTTGTATACTAAGGTAGTTTCTGAGCAGCACAAGCTCGGGCGCGTCAGTACTCCAGACAAGTCCGGGGATGGCCTGGGAAGTCCCCCCACTGCAGCTTGGCACCCTCAGGCCCGCTCTGCTAGCATCTGCTGGCTGCCCACTAAGCAGAGAGGCGCTTGCGTTTACAGGTCTTTCAAGGTTAGAACTGGTCACTACCCCCAGAGACCATCGGCCATCAAAGGCCACCAGAAAGCTCTTTGGCAGCATGTCTCAGTGGGGTGGCTGGGGTGAGCGTCCTCACCGTTCTCATGCGATTTCTGCTTCCAGGCCACACAGTCGTGCCGAGTCTACACACCAGCAAAATCAGCAAGGCTGGGCCTTTGGGCCTGACCCCACAAAAGCGGCCTTCCAGCCCAAGAACACGGGTGCCGGAGCCGAGGTGAAGGGAGGTGGCGTTTGCTCCTGCGCTTCTGGCCTTTCTTCCCAGCCGGGCCAGGCAGCCACACAAGAGGACGGAGACCACAAGCGCAGGCTGTACAGGTTTATTTTTCCAAAACCACAAGAGACATACAAGAGCAGCGCTGTCCCTGGGCAGCCCCATGGACCAGACCGGTTTCCACCTGTAGCCTAGAGGCCGCCAAAGGTCACAGCAGAAGGAAGAAGAGGATCAAGCACACTTGGGCCTCTGCTCCCTGTCTTTGGTAAACAGACTCTTGAAGTTGACAACTCGGGACTTGGCCAATATTGCATTTAAATCGTGTGACT